GAACCATTACGACGTATTCCGACAAGTTTCTCTTGCCAGGCAGGATTCTCGACAGCCAGCCTCGATCGAAGGGTTGTCGTACAAAGGTGAGTAGCGATTCCTGCCGCTGCTGATTGTTTGATGCAGGGTACAGCATCGCTGGAAAAGTCCCATCAGGCAGGGGCCGGGGTGGGGGGAGGAGTCGTACTTGATCGCTGGGAAAGGGACGTTTGCCTCTGATTTTTGCAGAGAGAATTTTTTTTGTGGTGGTTGACTCTTCTCGGTTATTCCCGTTTCTCGCTCGCTATATATTCCTTCACCAGGCTGCTCTTTAGTTGCCTGCGCCACAAAACCACCATTTCCACTACCTAGATTGGTTTGGTGGGAGCCCCTCCACGCACGTCGGCCAGGACACATTGTACGTCCGGGATCCTCAGCGAGGGGTAGTGCTTGGCCCGCCGGAAGGGGGGGGAGAGTCTGCTTTCCTTTGAGAGAACTGTTACTGGGTTTCTTAACTGCTCTCGGTTTTTCTTGTTTCCGTGTGCTATATACATGCCTCCCCGACACCCGTTTTCCGGGGAAAAACTGGAGAATTTTCGAAGAAAAAACTCTGGGAATGTTTTAGAAAGTTGGGAGAATTTTCGGGAGGTAGTACGCAGGATGGGGGTCCTACTAGGGAAGAAAACTTTGGGAGGGCTCGTATTTTGCAGGAGTTTCACACCGGCAGGACGTGCCCTGTCGACGGTACCTTTTTGATGGACTGGGATAAAAGATAGGAAGTTTTGAAGTCATGGGAAGATGGTAGGTGGGAAGGGGGTCGCATTAGATGAGGAGACTGGGGGGGGGTCGTACTAAGACCGCGATTTCACATATTACGATGCTGCACCCGCGTTTAATGCTGAATTCTCGAACTGTGAACTCAACGTGCTTTTTCAGACCATCACCACCGTCGGCCAATGGAGGAGTTATCACATCAACGCGTCATGAAACGCAACATTATTCGGTATCTCCTTCCCGAGGACATTCTCCAGCAGCTCATCGAATCACCACCTTCCCTGTCTGTAATCCGGCAAACGGGAATTTTGATAGGTTAGTTCCTCTGAAACTATCATGTTGACGTTTTTATTTATTTCTTGTTGTTGTTTTGTCCACACGCAGGCCCTTTGCCACTCCGAACAAGTAAAAAAAGTTAACCTTTCTGGGCGTTGAAACCGTGTAAGAAATTTTTTTCCACTTGGAGGTAGAAGTTGTGCGAACGTTCTTTGAATCTCCTTTCTCGAGCAGTTAAAGCCACGCCCAAAGCTGACCTACTTGCCTACTGAGCGTTTTTTTTTTACTTCCCTCTTCGACCAGCTTATTGCTTATTCATTCTGCAGATACAGTCATATCACAGAGATGAAGCGTGGCCACATACTTCATTTGAAGAATGCGTTTCGGGGGATTTTTCCATTTGAGACAGCGAGGTTCTGTGTCAGCTGCCAGCAAAACATAGCTACAACTGTCCCGAATGAGAATTTCCGCAAGAGCAGCCACGCCCTATTCAAATGGAAATACACAACCACGCCTACCTCGTCTCCAGGATATGGAGTGTAGCATTTATCGCGACGCTCCAAAAATCGTAATGTCTTCTTCTCTGCTCAACAACCCATAGCTCTAGGAGCAGAGTCGAGCCTCCAGTGTCGTGTCCCACTCATTGGCACACTTCTCCTCTTCATCGTCGTAGAAGAGAGGCGCACCAACGGAGCAGCCAACGGTGGGACCAACTCCGCCCACATGATAAGCGCGCGGAATGCGCCTTCAACAACCATAGAGGTAGCTTCTGGTGCAAAAGTGAAATGAGACTCCAGTAATGTAAAGAGATACCCCTTCAAGAGTGGCCTTACGCCTCGGGCGGTATATTGTGCACCGGAAATGGGGAAGGTTGGAAAACGACCCTTCTCCTCCCCTCCCATTTTACCTAGGTTTTGCCGTTTGGCCTTTCAGAAGGCGCGAGTGCGACCCTCCCTTTTTTTATAGCGTTCACTGAAAAAGGAAAATCAACCCAAAAAAAGTTCTCTCAGACCAAAAACGACCCTCCTTTCCCTAGCGACCAAATACTACCTGGTGTTGGGGAATCCTCAGCGATGGTGTGTCCCGGGGAGGGGAGGCGGGAGTGTAAGAAAGGAGTATGCCTAGAGCACTAAAGCCAACAAAAAAACCAAGAGAAACCCGCACCGTAACGTATTTCTTGAAACCAAATCCACCCCCCCCCCCTCCAGGCCATCGACCTCCTTCGCTGCGAAATTTCCAATCTGCCTACCAGTTGACCCGTAGACAGTTCTTTGAAGGCGCGCAATCGTGTAAGTGATAGGCTGTGCTAGCCCTTGATTCAGATGAGCTAATTTTTTATCCTTCGCCATTTAGGAAGCCGTTCTCGTCGTCAGATCTACCTCGCTATCAACCTGCCGTCAATCGTCCACCTCATGTGCCATATATGCCACGCGGCGGCCAGCAAATGAGCCGTAACGTGCCAGGGTCAGCATCTGTTGGGAAATTACCGGCTCATTCCGATGCACATATGGAAGCGCTTCTGGATTACTACAAAAATCAGTCAAACCAGTCATCGGCTCCGAAAACTGCCACTATTGTCTAGGAAGAAGTTCTGTTGTCACTTTGAGTCGGGGGAAGGGAAGTGAGGGCTGCCAACGGAGCCCTCAAATAGGCCTACGAAGTTGGCTTAGCACTTCTCTTATGCCGAGTTCATACTTTGCGCCACTGGTTGATGGCGTATCAGCAAAGGAACTGATACTTATCGACATTTGCGCTTGATCACAGTCGAAAAGGTCGATACACATCCAATCCATTGCGATTCTCCGACTTCCCATTCCAGCAGCGCGGGGTCGGCTCGCAGACCTCCATCTTCAGCGGCGCAGATATGAACGAGATTTTTTGATAGTTCAATGATAGCTGATAAATTTCTTCCATGCGTTTTTCATTCGTTCGTTCGTGTTTTACGGTGGCAAAGTGATTCAGTTATTGTTTTTGTGAGTTTTGATAACTCTGTTTCTATGTATGTTAGAAGGAAAATTTCTTTTGTTTCATTTTGTGATAATTGCAATCGATTCACTTCATATAGAAGATCTATGCTTTATATTCTATTTCGGGTCGATGCATCCATATTCATTATCATCATTCTTCATCATCGTGTCTGTTCGTCTCGCGTCTCGTCATTCTTGAAATGGTTGCATTCTATTTATCATCATCATCATCATCATCATCATGTCCCTGTAATTCAATTATTTATTACGGTATTCCCAATGTAACCATTAAAAATTCAACATAATTTGTTTTTTTGATTGCATGTGAAGGACACCAAACTATAAGTTTAGGAAAATAGACGGGATACAGTACACCAAAGTGCACGTGAAATTGAGTGCGAAAGGGCGCGGTGTGCACACAACATCACCTTTTCGACAATATTTTCAATAAACTAAAAAGCAGAGCTTTTGTTTGGTTTTTAAGCATTGGTGGGAGAAGATATAAAAAAGTAGTTCCACAGGTGAAGGGTGGAGTTAGCGGCAGAGCACATCGTTGCTGGGGATTCCCCAACAGGGGGAGGCGTATTTGGGCTGAGAAAAATTTATTTTGATAAGTTGATTTGTCTTTTTTCACGGTTGTAAGGGAGGTCGTATTTGCTTATTGTTGGGAGGGG